TAAAAGGCTAATATGCTAAGTTTCCAACCATCTGACTGGTCGCTATGACCCACACTGACCACTAGGGGGCAGATGCTCAATGGAGGAGCTGCAGAGCTGCAGTGACTGGGCAGCTGCAGTTCTTAGATGACACACCCCGAAACCAGGGAGGAGGGAGCGGATTCCTTGTGGGACCGTGTGATTCTACCTTCAGACATGGGTTATGTTGCTGGAACACTGTTGGTGCCGAATCTGGTTTACTGTACACTTGCATTTGTTTTCCAAACCCTGTACAACAGCAACTTTGCAGTGTCCTCTCACACTTTGGGACTCTTTGGAGGATGTTGGAGAGCTGGTCTTCTTCACCATTCAGTCTCCCTGTGTCTTTTGTTTGAGCATTTAATGCATTTACAGTTAATGTAATTATTCATAGGTATGCAGTTATTGCTATGTTTTCATTCATATTTTTAAAGCTTTTTCTTCTTAAAGAAGTCCCTTTAACATTTCTTGTAATACTGTTTTTGTAGTAATAAATTCCTTTAGCTCTTGTGTGTCTGGAATGAGTTATCTTAATTTGTGTTTCACTTAGGTTGTAATAGTTTATATTCCTAAGATATGGAAGTTTGAGCCTGGAGATACTTAGCATTTGATTGGATAGTCACCTATAAGAATTTGTCCAAGTTAGGTTCGAGGCCTCTAAATTCACAGGATTGTGCATGAAATCTTGTGCAAACAGCTTTTCTCATGAAAACTTTGGCACTTGTAATCATTACCAGTAATAGCTAGTAGTGAATTAGGAAGCATTAGGAACTATACATTTGTAATTATATATATATATATATATATATATATATATATATATATATATATATGTGTGTGTGTGTGTGTGTGTGTGTGTGTGTACATACACACACACACACATATATATGGGGGTACATATATGGATAAGAGATATAGTGACACATAAAGGGGTGCTGTTTTGTAGTGTTTGAAAGAGATAGAGTTTGATGAAAATGAAAGGTCAAATAAATTTTAAAATGGAAGGAATTTCACATGTTTCTTTCCTAAATGTGTTTGCAAATATAAGAGGGGCTCAAAGAAAGCAATTCTTATTTCCTTAAAGTCAGACTCAGAGCTGCTCTTACGCAGGTCCTGGAGGGTAGCTGTTAAGCTATATGTACTCTGAGCCGGACAGTTTTAGGATGCTTTCTAGTTCTGCTGTCAGTGTTGCCTCGTTCAAATTAAACAACTTTTTAGTGTAGGGTAGGACCTGAATATTCTGCTAAGACAGCACCCCTACCTGCGTCTTCTAATTAGAGCATTTAGAGTTGAATAGAAAAGTGGCCTGAGAAAAATCAATTTCCTTGATTATGAGTAAACTGGATCCAGTATCTTAGAAATGAGTGTCTTACAATAAACAGTCTCCAGGAGTGAATTCTGTAACTGAACTGAATAGTATAATTTAAGTGGAAGGAAAGGGAAATAGAAGTATATTATACAGTACACATTACCCTGGCTGTGCTTTTTAATGAGGTTAAGCAACATTATTACCATTTATCGATGGACACTTGGCAAAACTGAGTATATTCCCCTCCCCCCCTCCATAAATTGTAAGAAATGTAATTCTGAAGGTTATTAGCATTTATTCTTTTAGCTGCTTTTATATTTAAAATTTAATAACACCACACTTGACCAGAATGCCTTTGCTGAGGGACTATCTCAAGTTTATATATCAATACATAAATTTGGGAAATAATAAGCATACTAAAATAGATAAACTATTTGTTTATATTAGTTATTAGTTTCCCATGGAGGCAATATCAAATTACTACAAACATGATGGCTTAAAACATTACTAATCTATTGTCTTGAGATCTGGAGGTCAGAGTCTGAAATGGCTCTACATGGGCTAACATCCAGGTGCTGGCAGGGCTGTGTTCTTTCTGAAAGCTCTAGTGGAAAATGTATTTTCTTGCCTTCTCTGACTGCTAGAGACCGCCCACATTTCTTGGCTTGTGGCTCCTTTTCTCCATCTTCAAAGCCAACAATGGCCTGTCAGATCTTTCTCACCTGTATCCCTCTGACTCGCCTGCCTCCCTCTTTCACTTATGAGCACCTTTGTGATTTCGCTGGACCTGTCATCGTAATACCAGATCATTTTTCCAATCTCAAGCTCAGCTGATTAGCAACCTTGATTCTCCCTAGTCATGTAATGTACATACTCAGAGGTTCCAGGAATTAGTGATGGGTATTTTAGGGGTATTTTTCTGCCTACACATCATTTAAATTTTAACATAATTATGCTGGATGATACCTTGGCAGTGTACTGAAGGAGGGGGAACGGTGATGTAGAAGCAGGAAGATGAGTGAGGTGCACAAAACCAGATGAGATAAAGTGGTGGCTTAGACAAAGGTGGTCATAGTAACGGAGGTGGAGAGAAGTAACAGGATCCTGGATATATTTTGAAGGCAATTTGCTGGCCTGCTTAATATAGGATGTGAGAGGAAGAGAAAAGTCACGTGGAATTTTTGGCCTAACCATTAGGAAAAAATAAGTTGCCATTAATTAGTATGGAAAAAAAAAAAAAACAGCTGAAAGAGTAGGTTTGGGGGTTTAGTATTCAGTTTATGGAAAACTAAAAATGCCTCCTTAAAAAAAAAAAAAGACCACGGTCTTTTTAATAAAATGTTTTCAACATCTTCTGGTATATCTGAGTTGTCAAGAAGTTGGATTTACTGGGTAAGGATTAGGAGGGTGATAAAGAAAAACTAACTTTTTTTTTTTTTCCTTTGCAATGACTTCTGTTATTCCAATGATTTATAACCTACTGGACCAAGGAGGTTGTTGTAACAACTTAATATATTCCAGAAACTGCTTCCCATGACCACTTTTGCCAGATCATCCTGGACTGCCTGTGTCAACACTTGCACAAAACTTAAGAAATGAGTATTTCCAAACATACCGCACTCATGCATGATGTTAATGATAGAGGGAATTGTGACAGGAGGTATATGGAACTCTCTCAACTATCTTCTCTATTCTGTAAATAGAAAACTGTGCTAACAAATAAAGTTGATTGATTTTAAAAAGAAAGCAAAAGAAAGAAACAGGAGTTTTCTCCAGTATTGAGTCCCTAGAAAACATCTTTCTATAGAAATTAGCTCTGAGTGACAGTTTCATGTTATTACTAGGTTTTTATTTTTTCTTGTATTTGAAGATTTTTTTTTTTTCCTAAAGACTTCCTGACGGTGGATTATTTAGTTATTCCGGTGGTTTTGGCAGCCACAGAGACCTGTAGAACTTGAAAAACAGCAATAGTTAACATATATTAGGAGAGGTTATTATATTCCAGGTGTTATGTTGAGCACTTTCAATGGCTTATCCTATTTAATTCTTAAAACAAACTGATAAACTCTTTAGGGATTATCTTGTCCACATTTTGCTGGTGGAGTAATTGACGCTAAGGAAGGATAGGAAATAATGGTGCTAGAGTTTCAGCCCCAAGTAACCTGATTATATAATACATATTGCTTCTCCATGATGTACCATATTTTCTGCCCAAACTGATCCATGCCATCTTATCTGTGCTTGAAATTATTGAGTCTGATTGGCATTAATTTACCCCCAAAAGTTCCCATAGCTGTCGTTCTGCTCCCCTGTGAGTACTTCTCAAGAATCCAGCATCCAGCTCTCCAGCAGGGAAAGGAACTTGTGGTCAAACGGGCCATCTGTGGTCCTGCTGCTAGTGAGTACAAGCTCCTGACACCCGGTAATGGTCACAGATTGAGCCCTGCCTCAACCTTCAGCATATACATCCCACATCATCAAGTTATTGCGTGCTTCACTTCCAGTTCCATTGAACACCTGATGGCTTGTGGCCCCTTTCCTCCATCTTCAAAGCCCACAATGGCCCGTCTGACACTGCATCCCTCTGACACTGACTCTCCTGCCTCCCTCTTTCCTGCTACTCTTTTACAAGACCCCCTCCCTGGAGAACTGTGCATCCACTCAGCCCATCAGCGATCTCTCTTCATCTGGCAGCACCAGAAAACTGACCTTTCACCCCGAGACAACCTGGTAACTGCTCAATCGAGCATGGTTTTATTTAAAACTAGGAGCAGGCTTCCTTGTGAATGACTTGACTGAAAGCTTCCTGAGGCATGGATTGTGTCTGTTTGGTTCACTGTGATATTTCTAGTGCCAAGCAAAGTATTAGGTACTAAGTTCTTGTGGAATAATCATATCGTTTACTGCTACGTGTAAGTACCTTATGGGGAAATTCAGGTGTCTACTCTAGTAATGCTCTTGGGCTGTTGTCTGTGCCACTAAACACCACCGAGGAATAGCCAACCAACTAAATAACCCTACAGTCCCCTGCTGACCTAGAAATGGCCATTCTGCATCTACTCCATGGGAAAGGTGTGGGTTTAATGCTACACCCTAAAGCCCAGCTCTTGTCCTGACCAGGCACTCAGTAGTTTAAAGGTGTTGATTAATGACAATCACACTTAATAGTGGAGAACAGGTATTTCACATATTGGAGATTTTAAGGACTAATCTAGAGTAAAAAGTATTTTCTTGGAAAAAGTTAGCGAAGCCATCAACTTTCCATCTGCCATCACTTTAGTGATAGTCTTGAGTCCACTCAATTGACTGGAACTCATCTAGGTTTTTGTGCAGATTTTTATAATAAACCCTGAAATTTCATCATTATCCAGGTCTCTTTTGTGCTGCAAACAGGAAAAGTGTTTATACATTATTTCAGGGATATATTACCTTTGACTTCTTGCCCCTGCATGCACTCACACCGATCTGTGGTATAGGATTAGATTACTATTGACAAGGTAACAGAATGATGCAAAAACAATTTGAAATATAATATCTCTGAAGTGTACCAACTCCTTTCACTTGTTGATGAAGCTGTTCCTATAAACTGTTAGCAAATACAGACTTCTTCGTTCAATTCAAACACAGGCAAATATATGGATCCAGTACTAAACAGTTCTTTTTATTTTCCCAGGCAAGAAAACTGATCAGCGATTTTGCCATCATCTTGTCCATTCTCATCTTTTGTGTAACAGATGCCCTGGTAGGTGTGGATACTCCAAAACTTATTGTGCCAAGTGAGTTCAAGGTAGGTGAACTTCTGTCTTTTGGTCATTCCTGTAACTCTTGGGCTTTCTTTCCTTCCCCCTATTATTCTAGTTTGTCATATCTGTCCTTGGTTAGTTTTGTACAATTATCCATTTCTTTTTTTTTAAAAAATATATATTTTATTGATTTTTTACAGAGAGGAAGGGAGAGAGTTAGAGAGCCAGAAACGTCGATGAGAGAGAAACATCGACCAGCTGCCTCTTGCACACCCCCCACCGGGGATGTGCCCGCAACCAACGTACATGCCCCCGACCGGAATCGAACCTGGGACCCTTCAGTCCGCAGACCGACGCTCTACCACTGAGCCAAACCGGCTTCGGCAAATTATCCATTTCTTTACATATTTTGAAAATATTCTCTTGATAGGCACATGTATACATTTCTCTGTGTTTTTTTTTTAAATTAAAATTAGGTGCCTGAAAGATCATATGCAAAGTTAAGATTATATTGGTTTTTATGAAAAATACCTTATGATAACATTACAAACGCTGCTTTATACTTTTAGAGTATTTTAAAATATTCAGAGTATTTTCATACAACTCATCACTTTGACCTATAAAATAATTCTAGGATGTAATGTAACTAGCATCATCCTCATTTTATGAAATTGATTTTTAAGCTAAAAAAAAATCAAGTAAATTACCCACAATTACATCACTACTTCAGGGCTCTTTTTCTGCTACCAAACTACCTGCCATGTAAACATATATTTATGTATAATGTGCATTTTAATTATTATAAAGGAGATAAAGGAACTATTCATTTTATATTGTTGGTATTTGCAGGCCCAATAGTTAAAATTTACATTTCAGTCATTCTTAATATTTCATACCTAAGTTTCCATTATAAGTTTTTTACCTATTTTCTAGAATATTCCTAACCTCTCTTTCCATCATGGAGACCATTTACTTGCTAAGAAAAATTAACTTAACTATAGTTTTAGGTTAATAAGTACTCAGTGAAGAAAGGATATCTATGTTATAGCAAACAGAATATTTTTGCATTATCTCTTCCATCACATATTCATTAGCACAGAAAAGTTCTCATACATTTAATCATTAGCTTATTTAAGACAACTTATTCTGGATGTGTGCTTTTAATTAAGTTCTATACTAGATATCTGCAATGCAAACAAGATAAAGTTCCTTTCCTTATAATCTCACAACCTGGTAAAGGTAGTAAATTCAGTGATGGAGTTATGAGCAAGTACGAGGAAAAACAGAAATATCTTCAGATGAGAAATGAGACTTTTCTGATAGTAAAGATGGAGAAAATAATTCATAGGTAGGATTTTATTTTAGTTTACTTACATTATTTAAAGTTAGAAAAAAGGATAGGTTTTTTTTTTGTAGTAGAGATATATGATCTGCTGATAGACAATAGATTGGAAACTAGAAGGATAACTGTATTTTTTTTTTCATTTTCTGTGATATTTCTGAGGATTTAACCAATTATCCTGGGTTATTTTTCATATATAAAATAAGAAACAACAGAGTATTCAAATAAGTTTGAGTATAACATAAAAAATATTTGTAGCTTTTTATACATTATATTATAAAATCATTATAATGTGGCAGTATTAGCAACAACTTCAGTGTAATTGATCAAGTCCATAGACAAAGTTCATGGTAGTTTTGTAATTTCTTGCCTAAACCCTCACTGAATTTCACATCTGGTTTTTTTCTTATGGCCGGCCTTTAAACTTAAATTCCTTTCTTCCATATTGAGTCCTTATCTTAGATTGTTATTTCCTCCCCCCCCCCCCCCCCCCGGACCTATATTCTTAGTCTCCTTCATTTAAATTACTGTCTTAGAAATAAGCTCCTTTAGGAAAACCATTTGGTGAATAATCTTCTTTGTCCAATCTATTCATAAAACTCTTTTCATTTTTTGTGTTGGCTCTCCCAAATTAAAAGTATCTCTCCCCTGTTGATTTTTCACCAAGTGGTATGTATTTATATTGATTGTTTTCTCTTTTCTTCAAGCCAACAAGTCCAAACCGCGGTTGGTTTGTCCCGCCATTTGGAAAAAACCCCTGGTGGGTGTCCCTGGCGGCTGTTATCCCCGCTTTGTTGGTCACCATTCTCATTTTCATGGACCAGCAAATCACAGCTGTGATTGTAAACAGGAAGGAACATAAACTCAAGGTAAATGCTTATAAAAATGGTTATCATTCATTGCCTTCTCCTTTCTTTGAAGTATTCAGAAATAAATAACAACTCAAACTAAGATGGTTTGATTGGGAGTTATGTTATAGCCACTGTTTTTTAAGACTTGGCAGAGTCCTAGGAACACCTTGTATTGACACATTTCCTCACTATTATACTTTAGGGAGATTTCATTTAAATCCAAAGAAGTTGTTTCATGTTGTATTTTCTTAGCCACTGAAGAGAGCAATTCCAGCACCAAACCCAGTTGTCGATTTATGATTGGGAATATCTTCCAGGATTACTTTTTTTTACCCCTCTTAATGAAATTACATCTCCTGGAAAGACCCAGAGAGACATGTATTCCCATTGATTTTCTCTGTAGGTTTTATTTTTTAGTTGACCGATTTAGTATGCTGTGTTTACAGTATCTTTGTTTTATTTCTCCTGTATCCCTATGATTGATCTCCTGTTCATGGAGTTCAGAAGGTCATACTAATCCAGTCTTTTTATTATTTTTTATTTTTTTATTTTTTTAAAAATAAATCTTTATTGTTCATATTATTACAAAAGTTCATTTTTCCCCCTCCACCAGGTTCCCACCCCACCCTCTGCCCTTTCCCCATCCCCCCATTGTCCTCATCCATAGGTACACAGTTTATGTTCAGTCTCTTCCTATACCCCCCTCTCCCCCTTTCCCCAAGAATCGTCAGTCCACTCCCCTTCTATACCTCTGATTCTATTATATTCACCAGTTAATATTGTTCATAAGATTTTTTTTTTAATTCCCTTGGTTTTTAGATTCACGTTTTGATAGTTACATATTTGTTATTCATAGTTTTTATCTTTATTTACTTTCTCTTCTAAAAGAACCCCCTTCAGCAATTCATATAATTCTGGTTTGGTGGTGATGAACTCCTTTAGCTTTTTTTTTATTAGTGAAGCTCTTTATCTGGCCTTCGATTCTGAGTGATAGCTTTGCTGGGTAGATTATTTTTGGCTGTAGGTTCTTGCTATTCATTAACTTGAATATTTCTTGCCATTCTCGTCTGGCCTGCATGGTTTCTGTTGAGAAATCAGCTGACAATAGTATGGGTGCTCCTTTATAGGTAACTACCAGTTTTGCTCTTGCTGCTTTTAATATTCTCTCTTTGTCTTTTGCTCTTGGAATTTTAATTATGATGTGTCTTGGTGTGGTCTTCTTTGGATTCCTTTTGTTTGGAGTTCTGTGCGCTTCCTGGACTTGTAAGTCTAATTCTTTCACCAGGTGGGGGACGTTTTCTGTCACTATTTCTTTCAGTATGTTTTCAATATCTTGCTCTCTCTCATCTTCTGGGACCCCCATAATTCTGATGTTGGTTCGCTTGAAGTTATCCCAGAGGTTTCTTAAATCATCTTCAACTTTCTGATTCTTGACTTCTTGCTTCTGTGGAGGAGTATCTTCTGGCTCTTTATGTTCCAAATCTTTGACTTGATTCTTGCGATCTTCCATTTTGTTTTTAGGACTCTGTATAATATTTTTTAATTCAGACAATGTATTCTTTATTTCTTGTTGATCCCTTATTAGTTCTTGTTGATCCCTTTTTAGTTCTTGTTGATCCCTTATTAGTTCTTGTTGATCCCTTTTTAGTTCTTGTTGATCCCTTATTAGTTCTTGTTGATCCCTTATTAGTTCTTGTTGATCCCTTTACATCTCCTCTTAGGTCTTATCAACCTTTTCTAGGAAATTCTTAAAAAACCTTATAAGCGTGGTTTTGAACTCTATATCCAGTCTCTTCTTTTCCTCCATTTCTTTTGTTTGTGATCTAATTCCTTGTCTTGGCATTTTCACAGCTTCCCTGAGTTGGTAGGGTGGCTTTGTGTGCTAAGGTGTCCTATATAGTTCAGTGAGTCAGCCTCCCAGTTACCTGAGGTGGACAGTCTTGGTGTCCTAATCCAGTCTTAAATCCTCAAGGACTCCCATGATCTCTCAGGGCAGGCTTGGACTCTAGGGCTTGCTGATTCTGTAAATTTACTCTTTCTTGTTGCCATTGTTTTTTCTGTGTGTGTATAATTGTTTCTCTTACTTTCTGTCTGGTAGCCATGATTTGTATAAGATATTTTCTGTAACTGGTCAAGCATTTTCAGATGTTCTATACTGGGAGGGGTTCAGCATTGACTTAGTTTGAAAGGCTGAAAAATGGATGTTGGCTAATATTTTATTCTGAAAAAAATTGGAAATATTATCTTTGTTTTGATATATAGTTGGCCTGATTTTTATGTGTCTTTGGAAGTAAAGAACTATTTTCATTTTGCTTAGGTTTTCTTATTAATAAAATTCAGAATTTTGAATTTAGAAAATTTAGAATTGAAAAAACAGAAATTTTAATTCTATTCCCTGTAGAAAACATTGGAAAATCCAGACACATTAAGATTTACCTCTTGGAAATAGGAGTTGTGTAGTAAATAAAAAATAAGTTTTCATCACTTTTATAATTGCTTATTTGAAGTCATTCCTTTGAATGATAATGGTTATAGAATAAGTGCCAGTCTTCTGACACACATCTAATGATACTAGCGAAGATTTCATAATGAATTAAAGGCTTTTCACTCTGGATATTGTTTTGTTCACATTTGTTAGTCAAGGAATGTGAAAATTGGAGACATTGTCTAAAATTATAAAGGTCCCTGTCTACTAGGAAATTGAGTCCAGAGAGAAACCTGAAACAGTGAGGAAGATGGGAGTGTTGTGATATTAAAAGCAGCATGGTTTTGGGTGGCTTTTGCTTTGGCTCTGTGTCAAGTGGCACCGGCTGGGATGAGATCCACCTTTGGGATGAGATCCATCTTTCCACTCTGCTGCACAGCTCTGTATTGATGTAGGAATGCCAGGGCACCTGGCTTTTCTATTTTGGCCATCATTTTGGTTGGTTTTCCCCACATTATCCTTGCAGAGCACTCAGAAGCAAACCAGGTTCAGCAAGGTCATGTCTTATCCAAGGTCATTCTTCGAATCATTGCAGAGACAAGAAGAGTGTCTGGATTTCAGATCACAAAGCAAGGGATACTTCTCACAAGGAAAGTGATTTTAAGTGTTATAGATAGGATGTGGGAGGGAGAAATAGTTTTGGATAGATATATATTAATTAAGTGGTTGTAGCAATAAATTTTGTCTGATCTTCTCTATAATAAAACCCTAAGTTTTAATGTGTTTTCTTGGATAACTAAAAAATCTGCCTTGCTTTCATTTTTTTCTTTTTATTCCTGCTATCAAACTTAGATCCTTTCATTTCATGTCTAGAATATTCTAATTGTTTAACTAATTGTTTAGTTTAATAACCAGTCTCTTTTTGCTTCATTCTAAAAGCAATAAATATTTTTAAGTATTTTTCTGAGCCCTGGCTGGTATGGCTAGTTGGTTTAGCATCAACCCAGGCACCAAGTGGTGTCTGGTTAGACTCCCAATCAAGGCACATGCCTGAGTTGTAGGTTTGATTCCTGGCAGAGGGAACAAGGAAACTGATCAATATTTCTCTCTCTCTCTCTCTCTCTCTCTCTCTCTCTCTCTCTCTCTCTCTCTCTCTCTCTCTCTCTCTCTCTCTCTCTCTCCTTTCCTCTTTCTGTAAAAATTAATATATATTTTTCAAAAGTGTTGTTCTTATATGTCAGTCCTCTATTTCTAAACCTGTATACCTTGGCCTCTAAATCTTTGCCCCTTGAAGAATATCAATTTGTCTTAGCCTGGGATTTAAGTCTCTTTGTGATTTGATCTCAACCTAAATTTAAAAGGATTCTCTTCACATACTATACAATACTGTGATCAAATTTATTGTTGGTTTGTTGTCAAGTCTAGCAATTTCTTCTGCTAGTTATCCTACTCTCCAACCCTTAGTGATTACCATTTATCAAAATCCTCACCTTCCTTTAAGATACTCCAAATATAAACATTTGTTAGTGTAGCCTTCACTCTTAATATAATTTCTATTGCTTTTTTTTTCCTTTTAGTAATTTAGTATTATTTTGTGGTACTTTGTCCTTCAAGATAGATAATTTGTGTATTTACCTTATGTCCTTCTCTGGGCCAACTCATTTTTAAGCTAAAGATCATGTTTTAGTCTTGCTTCCTGCTATCATATGGTGCAACACAATGATTGCCATATGGCAGACTCAATAAATACACATTGAAGAATTTTGTTATCTTGGGCCACATGCTTCTCAGAGGCATTGCATTGTTTGAGATGGGTGATAACTGGAAACTATGCCAGCCCATCTCCAGTTCTCATAGTGAGTGCTTCTAGCATTCCAACCATTGAGATGACATCACTGCAGGAATTTTTGTGGGTTCTTTCTAGACATAGTTAAACACTTCATTGTGAACCCTTTGGTAGAAAGAACTATGTCATGGTTCTCAGTGTCCCTATAAAACCTTATTGTCTCCATTATGGGGGGCTCTTAGCTTGAATACTTATTCTGTGTCTGTGCATATGTGTATATTGCTCCTGACCTCTTTGTAATAATCATCTATTACCAAATGTAAACTTTAGATTGTTAGGCTAGTCTTTTTCTCTCGTAGTTTCTTTATTTCTGTATTTGCATTCCTAAATTACTTTTGCTTTCTATAACAAAGCATGTGCAGCATCAAAAGGAAGTGAAATTTCACTTCCTATTCCTTCAATTAAAATAATCTCTGGTTTCAGAAGGTAGAAATCTTTTGGATTTATATTCTTGAAGACAAGGACATTTTTTTTTAAACTTTAAAGGACATAACCTTTCAAGCATGTATTAGTCCTTGCTATATATGGAGCATTCGTGTTAGATGTTGAAGATAAAAATCATTCTAAGTTAGGGTGTCAATGTGGTTGAAGGAAAGGAAGACTTTTTTGAGGAGAGGGATATTAAGAGGCACAGAGTAATTATCTATGTATTATTTTTCCCCAGAACTTTTATTTATTCTGGTGTTTTTGCTTTCCAAGGTTTGTATTCTACTTTGTAAAATCCTCATATTACCCTCTTTGGTATTCTGTGGCCCCTTTTTGCTTGTCTCCAGGATATTTTACTCAAACTTCTTTTAGTTGAAAGAGTTTAAGAAAGCATCAAGATAGCTCTCAGCATAGATTTTTCTGCAACAGCTAATTCTTTTGACCCATTGATCTGGCCAGTGTCCACATCTTTAGATTATTTCAGCTTTCTTGGAGACAAGATTTGGGGATCCTGCCTATTAACAACCCTGTTGGTACCTTTAATATAGTCTTGAGTGATTTAAGCTAACTAAGGCTTAAAACTGTGTGATATTCCAGGTGTTATCCACCTCCGTCTGTTTCTTTCTGCCAAAATGACTCCTATTTCTACCAATTAAGAAATAAAGTTTTAATTTTTTGAATGGCCAATAAATTAATTATAGTTGACCTTCAGAAGAATGTATAAATCCTATTTGTCATTCATTTAATATATATATATATATATATATATATATATATATATATATATTAATTATTGATTTTAGAGAGAGGGGAAGGGAGAGAGATAGAGAGATAGAAACTTCGATGAGCAAGAAACATAGATCAAATGCCTCCCGCACACCCGCACTAGGAATCAAGCCTGCAACCTGGGCATGTGCCCCGACCAGGATTCGAATGAGAGGCCTCTTAGTTCATGGGTTGGTGCTCAACCATTGAACCACACCATCTTTATTGTCATTCATTTTTAGTAAAGATTAATTGGGAATTGACTCTATGTCATGCACAGTGCTAAAAAGTATTCAGGATAGAGTTGCAGTCCTACCGTTACTCATAGTCTAATGTCAAAGACAAATAAATAATACATACAATTTTAAAACCGTGTGATGAGTGCTGTGATAGAGGAAAGCATGAAATGACAGATTAGGAAACATGAAAAAGGAGACCTAACCTTAAGGAACTCAGCCATCTCACCTGACTGAAACAGGGAAAACTACCAGAAAAGGTAAAGGCTGATTTAAGTTTTAAGAATGAGTAATACTGAGCCAATGGAAGAAGGCAGAGTAGTGGTTATTCCAGGTATAAGGTGCTATGTGGGCATTAGTGAGTAAGACATGTTCAAGGAATTACATGTGGTTGAAAGTAGTCATGGCATAGGAACCAAGCAGGGGACAGGTGAAATGTGAGTTTACAGATGTGAACAGAAGCCATATCATGAATGGCATGTAGCAAGGTCATAAGACACAGACTTAGGCAGGAGTGAATACACTCTGTAAGTGCCACCTTAAGGTATAATCAGAATCCAAACACTTTTTGCCATCTTTACTGCTGCCTCTCTCATTCTGTCACGAGCTCTAACATGGAACTTGTAAGTTAGGAGGTCTTGTGTCTTTGACCCTCTTCAGGCTGTTCCTAACACAACAGCCGTAATGCTTAGAACATAAGCAAATCCTGCCACTCTTCCACTTAAAACCTTCCATGGCTCCCATTAACAGTACTCAGTGTACAAGCCCAAGTACTTCTAGTTCCCCTTAGTGTTTATTACTCTTTAAGATACTGGGTAGTTTACTTATTTATGTTGTTTGTTGTTGTCTCTCTTAGTAGAATGGAAACTCCACAAGTGCCAGAATCTTTGTCCATTTTATTCTCAAGTGTGTCATCAACACCTAGGACTATGCCTATTATAATAATAAATGTTCAGTATTTGTTGAATTAATGACTGGGACCCCCAGATATATCATGATAATGATCTCATTTGTTACTATTTAATGAGTTTCTGCTAGCCATCCCCACCTTTGTCCTCCTTTCCCCTACCTTACTCCACTCCCACTTGAAACCACTGATGCTGAAATGAACTGGTTCTATGAATATGCATTAGTCTCTTTGTCTCACAAGGAGATTTTTGTTCTTAATCAAACTTGGACTAAGTAAATTTATGCTTTTCTTTCTTGTGTCAGCCCCCCTTGCCTGTGATGAGTTCTGTGAGAACATGATTAGACCCATGTGTGTGAGCCAGGGGTGAGATCTTAGCCTTTCAGAGAGAGGAGAGCAGTGTTCTGACTAACTGTAACAGGATCTGAATCAAAACAGTCACTGGGTTCCTAGTGTAAAACCACATTCTCGTTTTTTAGAGCCATCGTCTCCATTCCCTGGGATTGGTCATATTCTGGCTCTTGATGCCGCTGCTTTCATGCTGTGAAAATGAACTGCTCTATTTTCTCAGGCTCCATAGGGGCATGAAGCATTTGATTTCTTCACAAATAGAACAGAGAAACAGAACCATAGAATAACATTGTGGACACATTTGACAATATTGATTTAGTGAGTAAAAGAGTTAGACCTTTTGTTACCTTGTCTGCTCTCCCAGTCAATAAATGCTATTGTGACCATTGGGTAATGCTTGAAATTAGCCTATTGTAATGATGGGGATATTCATTACCTTCATGATAATGTTCAGCAGATTCTAAACACTTATTTTCAACAACTATGAAAGGTGAGGCATGGTCTTCTACCTAGCCTCTCAAGGCTCCTTTCAAATCTTTCGTTTACATGCTGAAAGCTGTCTAGGTGAACAGCATACTGCTAAGCAGTTGAGCAGAGACAGCACAGTGCCTGCTTTTTAAGGCACTTTTCTTGCTTAGGTTAACAACAATCGATATCCCTATTGTTGCTATTATTTATTGAGCGCCTACTATGAGGCAACCACTGCCTATTACAGGTGCTTTGCTTCTGTTATTTCATTGAATGGTTCCAATACTCGCCAAGGTAGATGTGTTGGTTTCAAAATCAGAAGCAGAGAAGATAAGTAACAGTAAACAAATAATAAGGAAGCTGTAACACATTGAGCTAGAAGAGGTGCCATGTGGCCACTTGGTGTTTCATTGCTAAGGTGATCAATAGGACAGTGAAGTCACTTCACTCAGAGAGCTTACCTTTCTGTGGATATTTCTATCGAGCAGAGCGAGTTGGTTTCTCTGACTAATCTTAACTCCCACCTGGAGCTATGACTTGATAGCAGTATGAGTATTTTCTTCACGTGGCTTTGTTCCCTCTTTCCACAGAAAGGAGCTGGCTATCACCTGGACCTCTTTTGGGTGGCCATCCTCATGGTGGTGTGCTCCTTCATGGCGCTCCCATGGTACGTGGCTGCCACTGTCATCTCCATTGCTCACATCGACAGTCTGAAGATGGAGACGGAGACCTCTGCCCCCGGAGAGCAGCCCAAGTTCCTTGGAGTGAGGTATGTGACGTCAGAAGACAGTGGCTCTTCAGAACACCACGTGCACACATCCACATGTCAATCATAAGCAAATGGAAGATATGGAAGAGAAAGGGCCAGTGATGGTTAATTTATTCCTGCACTTCCTTTTCTAGAAAGGACTACATTTTTCATCAGAAAGAGAGTCCTCAACAATTTTTTTTTTGAGTTTGCTTCTTATGATAAGTAAATTTTCTTTGATTTATGAAAGGCTAAGTGATACAATATAAAAATGCAAACAGGTCACTCATTTTCTTCAACATGCAGGTCCTGCTGGTGCTGTGGTACTTACACTAGCAGATCAGATATAAAGACCAAACCCTTTCATCTTTTAGCGCCTTTGAGATTCCCTAAAACTCTTGAGTCTGCTTATAATTTTTTAAGATTCTATGAAGGGAAACGAATTCTTATTTTCCAGTTCATTTTCGATCCCCATAAGCCTGAGAACCTTTGACCTTTGGCAGTTAAATTTGAGTGGCCATGAAGGACTTTACAGGACCTTTATGCTGTTGTCTACTTTTTACAGCAAACCCTGCCCCTCAGTGCTGGGGTGAATAGCTCACATGACAGAGCCATCGTTTCCCACACCACAACAGTGGGTGATTCTTTCTTGGTGGCTGGGGGAGGGGGTGTTGTATGGGAATCATATTTGTTAAAAAGTACTTTTGTTGTTGTAGATTTGGAAATTAGACTGATGAGATTTAATTGCACTTATGAAATTTCCCTGAGCTGTTTATTAATTAGAATGTGGGACAATGTAATATCTGTCTCCTGTGAAAGAAGGTGTAATTACACAACAGTTCAAGTTGTTTAAAAAATAAGGGCTTCAAAGAGGCCCATACTTGATGGGCCAAGAGCAAGGGATGTTTTTTTTCTTTCTTAATTCTAAAAGGAGCAAAGGGTTTAGCAGAATCAGTTTCCTCTTGATGAATTAAAATCACACATTGCAATCGGTTTAAGAGAATTTCATATTTATGTTGAGCTTATATACCTAAAGGTATTAATTACATATGATATCAACACCTTTGCTATTTTAGCCAAACATTGATTCAGTCAATGTATAGTCTTTTTTGAAGGTAGAAAAACAAGAGGTAGATTGGTAATCTTTTGATTTGGTTTCAGGGAACAAAGAGTCACTGGAACCCTTGTGTTTATTCTGACTGGTCTGTCAGTCTTTATGGCTCCCATCTTGAAGGTAAATATGTGAAATATTTTGTCCTTCTCCAATACTCGCAGCTAACTGGATATGTGAAGGGTAGAATTTCTTATGAAACATCTGCAGGACTCTCATTAGTTCTGTAACACACCGTAGCAGTGGTCAGATAGAATGAGGTTTAAAAAAACTTTCATCTTAATTTTCTTCTCACTCCTATACTCTATCATGATTGTTATTATAATTAGTTGGTTTAAACCATATTACATTACCAATATTCCAACTTTTGTCCTATGTAAATGGCAACTGCATGTAATTCAACTTGATTTTCCTCCACCTCACATATTTTATCCCCATAGTTTTCTTTCATCCTTTCTTCCCATCGCTTTCCATTTATTTTCTCTAATTCCCGCCCCCTTATATCCCCATAATAGACTCCTGGATAACATGAGTGACTCAGGATAATCATTTTGTAATTTTTCTTTTATTCTTAATTATTACTGACTATTTCTGTTTTATTTGAATAAGAAGGCCTAATATTCACAAAGGGTGAATATAGTAAAATTACTGATTTATAATTAGAAAACTTAGAATTGAACTTTTTTTTCAAATGATAAGAGAAAGTTTATTTAGAAAGTTAAGAGGAGTAGCAGTGAGACAGCTGGGCTGTGCAGGCTCGGGGAACAAGTTATAGAAGCAAAAGAGAGGGCCTAGGAGCTTAGGGGAAGGAAAGGCAAAGATAACGTGCCTGGGGGGGAGGAAACGATGGTCAGGAAAGGCTTGGACTTGCTCCCGAGAGAGAGCATGCCTGGAATTGAATTTTTGAAGGAAAATGATACGGTAGGTTATTTAGAAAGTTAGGAGTCAATATGAAGGTTTGAGTAGTAAGGTGAATGTCTGACCTAAATATATAAATATAAACTACATGTGAAAACCTACTGAGAAACAGAAATAGGACTAAAACAGGTTCAGATTAATACATACTTGTCATGAAACTTTCAGTTTTCTTTTGTGACACAAGCATTTTATTTTCTTGTTATCTTATAAACAGTACTAGCCAGTTATTGATAATTTGTATCTCATGCTTTGAACCACAATGCAAAGTACCAAATTCACCTCTAAAGCAATAGCATAAACAACTGTTGCAATTTCCTTCCAAATTTTTTTCCTGACAATTTTTTTTTATTTTTAAACAATTCTAATTTATAAGGTTTTTAAATTGCTTATTTAATTGCACAAGTAATGAAGCAGTACATTCTTGTAAAGAATTCAAACAATACAGGACAGATGGTGTAAGGCAAAAACAATCCATTTCTCTCGGTTAGAACATTATATGTCAATCACCAATCAGATGAGTTTGAGAACAATGAAATTATAAATTCTTAAACTTATAGATAAGACTGACTTTGCCTTTAGGATATGTAGGTTAATGCATAATTAATTATGCACAAAATACTTGGTAAACAGTTAAAATACTTAAATATTCATCTTTCATCCTTGGTTTTCCCAATGTCAATTAACTGGTTTAATTCTTTTTTTGACTGCAATCAGGACGGAATATGTATCTCATGCAACACATGGAGTAGCAAAATTAAAAATAACCTTACAGAAGCCATTTCTGATTATAGAGAGAGGACCTTAAAAGAGTATAGATCTTATGTTCTGCATCAGCAATTTTCATCATTTTTCATCTCCTGGCACACATAAACTAATTACTAAAATTCTGCAATGCATCAAAAAATATAACTTTTGCCGATTTTACAAAAAAGAAAACACCCACAAAACATAACATTTTGATTCGCTCACCGCAAATGGCTATTGTTGTGTTGGCTGTTGTCATTTTTTGACACTGTAAAGGAAAAGAGGCCAGTTCCCCTGACTGAATAATCAGGTAGCGCATATTTTAAAATGTCTTGCAGTACAGCCCCTGCAGGGTGGCTCAGTTGGTTGAGCATCCTCCCGCCTATACCCAAAGGCATTCAGGTTCAATTACTGCTTAGGGTGGTTGGTGGTGGTGGGGCAGCGGCTTGATGTTTCTCTATCACATTGATATTTCTCTCTCTCTCAAATCAATTTTTTTAAAAAAATTCTTCCTACACACAGATTGAGCAGCCCTGTTCTACACGGACAGAGGGGAAGTGTTGCTCTTGCTAAGTGCACAGCGAGTTGCGGGGTAGGGTTGAAGTGTTCCCCAGCATTAAGTCCACTGCCAAAGTGCTTTCTGTCGCGCTGCTGGCCCAGAGGCAAGCGCACATCAGCTGATGGGGAAATCTTCGTGACAGCTTCGTACCGCCTGAGCAGCAGACCTCATCTGCAGACATCAGTTTTTAGAGAGGTCATTGCTGCAGTTATGACCCCATGTGTGAGAGGCTGTACTGGGAATGAATCTGCTCCTGGGCTCCCCCTGGAGGTGGGCTTGCTTGGCACACCGCAAAGATTAGTTTACGGGGTCTCTTGTACTTGGCCATTAGTAGACAAGGGATAATATCCAAAGATCTTTCCATCAGTTCATATTTACTCACCACACACACACACACACACACACACACACACACACACACACACACATTGTTTCTTTTATTTTTATATTATTTATTTTTGTTTCTTTTATTTTTATATTGTTTATTTTCATTAGCACAAAGTCAGATGTGTTTCAAGCCTGTTAGTTGTTACAGCAAACTGGCCTTCATCTTGGAGAATCTGTCAGTTGAGGAATCATATGTGAATCAAAAGGGACACAGACAGTAGATACTGTATAAATCGCTGTTTTTCGGATGAGACGCAAGACTCACATTTTCAACAACACTCCCTGTTTTCTCACCCTGCACCCAAATATGGCTGCAGAAGAATTAAAGTTGAAAATGTTTTTGCTCTTTCTTTTCCAGGGATTCTTTTTGCCTCGGATATGCAAAGCACCTTAGTATCTACAGGAACAAATTAGAACGGAGAGAAAGAAAAAGGAGAGATGCAAGGGATCAAAGGGATCAGTGAGCATGGGCTCACTTTTCCTCTGACCTCCCTTCAATGATCCAGGTTTTGCTCACGCTCGTTAAGCTGCTAGAGTCCATAATTGTGGCTCTTGCCACCTCCTACTTTGGGTCAATGCAGAGAATCTTTGTGGGATCAGTGAAAAAGGCAGTCCAGCAAACAGTTTTATTAGGCAAGACTTTGCCCAAAATGTGGGATTTGAAATTGTTTGGTTAATATAGTTTCTAACATATTGTGGGAAACCTAGATTTAAAAACAGAAGTAGTACAGCAGTGGCTACTGCGATTTTTTTAAATTAATTACAACTATTTTTTTTTTACTTTAAGAATCATCACTGATAAAGTCAGCTAATTTTATTTTTATTTATTTATTTATTTTTATAAATGTCTATGTTTTCATTGATTTCATAGAGAGAGAAAGGGAGGGAGAGAAAAATCAATTGGCTGCCTCCTGCATGCCCTCTATTGAGGATCCAGCGCACAACCTGGGCATGTGCCCTGACCAGGAATAAAAAAAACCAGGACCTTTTGGTGCATGGGAAGATGCTTAACCAATTGAGCCACACCAGCCAGGGCAAGTCAGCTAATTTTAGACCATGTGCCCTTTTTGTCATTAAAGTTTGATGTCATATGCATTCACCACAGAACTGTTGTAGCTCATTTGAAAAGTCAACACAGGAAGAAGCAAATATTAAGGATACAGTTAAACTAAAACCCAAGTTACAAGTGAATCAAAGTTACAATTAAAAGTCAAGATTAACAATTAACCTCAGAATTTACAGGGAAAAGCAGGATGGGGGGGCGGGGTTACCTTGGAGGAGGGAACTTTCCCTCCCCCCACCCACACCATGTGACTGTGTATGTTTTAAAGAAACAGGTGACACCATTAGAGAATGATTTTACTTAAGAGTTTGCCCTAAAAGGCAGATCAAATGAATGGGATCCAGAGGAGAAATGTGTGACTTTTACTTTTTAAAAATGAAATGGCTTAACACGTGATCCCTCACAAGTTTAATGGCCTCAGATGATCCTAGTAATTTTCTCCCATGTGTTGAGCTCCATAGGAAGTTGTTCTCTGTCCCTGCTTAGGCAGGCTTACTTTGAACATGCAGTTTATGACCTCTGTTTTGATCTCTTTGCCAAACTATGTCTTTTTTTTTTACATGGAGGAATATAAGGAATCATAGTATAGTAACTTTATTAAGTTCATGAGGACACCCCTTGACCTTAGCCAGCTATGTCTTACATGTCTCAGACCTCACTACTGATTCAATACAGAACTGTTGGGAAGCAGGCACAACTGGCTTCCCAGGGTGGGTAAACCTTTCAGATGTGTGTTTCTTTTTGGGAGACTAAAGAGTAGCAGAAAGATGAAAGGTAGCTTACTTTCCTCATTCCTCTGGCAAGCCTAAAGAAATAAAGATCGTGTAAAGTTCACTGCTACCTCTGTTGCCTTTGCTTGAAGTAGTTTATCTTTAACAGAAGTGGTGGCCAAAATTTATCTTTCAGATTGGTTTAGCATTCTAAAATGTGAAGGGTAGCAAAGAATTAGTATTTGGCACACATTGGTTGAACTCCTACAATATACCACACACCCTGCTCATGAACAGGGAAATACAGATAAATAATAGTGATGATGATGATAGTGATTGTAATAGGAGCTTCCATTTATTGAGCTTGATATTGAACTAAGGGCTCGGGACAGGTTTTTAACATTTAGTTCTCCAATAACATTTACAAAACTATCTTAATCATTGCACTCATTTTTTCAGATAAGAAAAATGATGAATAACTAGTCAGGTCACAACATTCTTAAATAGTAGAGCCAAGATTCGATCTTAGGCAGTTTGGCTCCAAAGGCTGATTTTGTAACCATCAGAGTTTACCGCCTTTTGAAATAAAACAGTACTTATTGTCAGAGAATTCATTCGGTTTCGTTTCCCATGAGGTGATCTTTCCCAGCCTCTTTGATCCATTTTCCAGTTCTCTCATGTGGAGAGAAATGTGGCATTTTCACAGACTGATTGTACCTCACTCCACAGTTTCTTCAATTAATAGGGAGCAGTTTACAAGTCAGCAACTTCCATATTAATGCAGATTTGTAAGGCTTAAGGGCATTGGGATGTTATTTTAATAACGTGTTCCTAAAGGCAGCTGTTATAGTTGAAAGGACAATACTGTAGACTAAAATAAAACCCAGGCTTCAAGTCTGACCTTTGCAGCAATCCTTCCGCTCTATCCTCTGGTCCCCTCTTCCTCACCATTCCCCAGTTCGCCCCACTCCCCCCCACAGAGGCAGCAAAGAGAGTTGTGCTTTGCAGCTGCAGGCTTTTGACTTGGCAGTGAAGGTCCTGATGACATCAATGCCACATTTAGCATTTATTGAAAATTATCAGGCAGACCTGTGCTGATTTCTATGCCCATGCTCTTAAATAGGACTTTGTTCAGAATTTTACACACACACACACACACACACACACACACACACACACACACACCCCTACCTTATTCTGCTGGGTGGCCTCACTCCTCTAATGAAGTCCATGCTGTGGATACCTACAATCGATCTTTCTTATTAGACTTATCCTTTTTGCATTTTTTCCTTATGGAAATAATCTAACACTATCAGAAAAATCAAAGGGAAGGAGAAGTGAAAGGAAATGGAATGACAGTCACCAGAATATAGTAATTTCAATTATCTAGTCTGAATTGGACCTAGTCTGAATATGTTCATCCTCATTGACTTAATCTCTGTTTCATTATTCTACATGGTTGTAGGATCAAGCACATAATTTTTTTTCATTTTTATGTTTATTAGAGGCATTATAATATTTATAATTATACTTTTTGGCTTTCTGGGTATGGTTGTTATTTAAATAATTTTCTTTGCATAATTTTATCATTTGGCAATTTTTGTTATGCCTATAAACTAGTATACCTTGTGTTTTAATTTCTCCTCTCTTGCTGTGTAAAAATAGGTCTCTCTTCTCTTACTAAGTATATTATATTATTTTAACTTAAAAGAGGATCCCATCTTTTAAAACACATTCTTTCCTTCCTCAGGAAAAATTTTTGTTGTGATGAATGATTCCATTGTAATGAATGTTTAAAGATTGACCTTCTGATGTGACTCACTAACCAAACCCAATAAAAAATATCCTCTAACCCAGTTATTGTTAAAATTCACCAAGATTTCCAAACTGGAAGATGTTTATTGAGACATTGCATTACCGTACAGAAAATGGTGAATTTCACAGAGCATCTGTATCACAGTGAAGTTGGCTGAAAATCTAATTAGTATTCTTTCTTGCATATACTGTTTCCTTTTCATCAATGGATCATTTTTTAAAACATCTTCATATCTAGCACTATTTCCCTACCCATATCCCATGCCGTTCTGTTACTGGTGAATTCTGATTTTATTTTGTGGTAGATTCAGTCACATTTGTCGTCGTAAGTTCAGAAAGAACAGGCCTGGGCACAAGCACAGCTTGCCTTCATTTTGGCATTGGAACCACATTAGAGAAAATAGGAGCTAAGCCAAGGTGAGGGGTGGACACAGGGCCACGGTCGCCTTTGTGATTACTTTCCTTCAAGCCAGGAAAGCACTTTATACAGATTAAAAAGTAACTACTGCAGGGCTTCTAACCAGTTCCCCGTGAACTGTACGTCTATTTTCCTCCTTCCACCTTTCTTTTCTTCCCCGAGAAATTAGAAATAAAAGGATAAGAATGAAATCATCCTGTATTAAGGAACAATGGCAGCGCCCCCTGCCTGTGGAACATATTTTAAAAATTACAAAAGGATTTTTAATGATTAAAAAAAAAAAAATCAAAGCGATAAAATGGTGCCATTGTTAGTTTCATTTCTTATTTTTTGTTGCTGTCAATTTATACTGAGTAATGGTAAGAAATGGGACATTCACGTTCTAAAAGAAATAAAGTCTCATGTGCTCACCTCTTTGTGGTGACTATTGGGTATTACAGCACACATGGCTCCCCCACCACTCCCACCATCCCTCCCACCTCCTTCAGTGCTCAATGTCACTTATTTTTCTTTGAGCTGAAGGTCAAATTACCCTTGTTAAAATTCTTAGTCTTTTTTAGAAAATGTTTTATGGACATACGTATATTTATTCCATATAAAATTTAACAATTCTTCTAACAAACCAAGAACAATTAGAGATACTCGTGACATTTTAGAAGTTGCTATTTCCCCAATAGTGTCCAAAGGGTCTCATACTGATGCTTACGCAATCCCCAAGAAAGGCTGATAGAAATTTTGCATCACTAACACATGCAATAGTTCTTTAAAAATGACTCTAAAGTCATTCTGTTTTCTTGCTACAATAGCCTACTTTATGTAGAGGAGGTAAGATTGGGCTTATTGATTGTGGTTTTAGCTTTGAAAACTCCTGAAGTTACTTGAGCTTCTTTTCAAAATAGAACCTTGAGAACCTTTCATAGTGCAGATAGAAGACTTCCCAGAAGCTCATCCTTAACGTGGCTTCATCCCTGTAGTTCCAGGGAAGTTTCAAAGGACTGGGAATGGACAAAACTTTTGAACAGCACAGTGGAACATCCCATTGTTAAGCCGCTTTGTATAATGCAAAAAGACTTCTGCTAATTAACGCATGAAATGTATTAACTTGGTTTTGAAAGCTGTGTATTAATCCCTGTGTGGAATTAATTGCTTGCAGATGCTTGATGCTCCTTTCAAGCGGTGTTCTCATTAGTTAGTTCCCAGTATTCCTGAGGAGAAGAAAGGGGACAGTCGTTTGATGCTTTAGTTGAAAGAATCATTTAAACACCAAGTAGATAGATCATTGGGTGAAAATTATTAAGGAAAAAAAATCAATAGACTGTTGGGCAAAGAACTTGGTCTCAGGAGTGAGGTGACTGACCCTCTGCCTCTCTTTCTACCTCACAACTCATGCAAGCATCTCGCTCACATAGTCATTCCTTTTAAGGCAAAAGGCAAACAAACTTTTTTCCCATTTAAAAAAGAAAAAAACTACTTATTAAGGTCATGCATGCTCATTGTAAAAAAAACAAAAGGCATCAAATGAAAATTCAAAGTCTCCTTCCCCTCCATTTATTTCTAGTACAAAGGATTTGGAAGTTTGTCAGTGATCACTAAAGCACACTAAGTAGAGATCATATTACTATGGTCTATTATTTAGTTTCAGATTTAGCTTTTATTTAAACTACCCCTCTTCATTACTGTATTTACTATTATTGTTTTTAACTGGTCTCCAATTTTTTTCTTTCCTAGTTTATTCCCATGCCTGTACTCTATGGCGTGTTCCTGTATATGGGGGTAGCATCCCTTAATGGTGTCCAGGTAAGTTTTCCATAGCAGCCTAAGCACAGTCATGTTTTCCTAGTAGTAAGGCTAGTCCAGTAATAGATCTTTGATGAGAAGTGCTAATTATTTGCTACGTTTTTAAAGTTCACTTATTTTCTACTTTCTCTACCATTATCTACTTTTCATTTTCTGATTTAATTAACAAAGTTAGCTTGTGTTAACAAATGTCATCATACATACCCATTCTTAAACTAGGCTGTTAAAGGTCATGTGATTAGGAAAGTAAGAGAGCTATGATCTACCTTCCTTTCTTCTTTTTTCACCTCTCTCTCTCTCTCTTTCTCTCTCTCCCTCTCTCTCTCTCTCTCTCTCTCTCTCTCTCTCTCTCTCTCTCACACACACACACACACACACACTCTCTCTCTCTCTCTCTCTCTCTCTCTCTCTCTCTCTCTCTCTCTCTCTCTCTCTCTCTCTCTCTCTCGCCTCCCCCCCTTCCTCTTCTTTTTTCTTTTAGTCTCAAAAAGGAAATCAACCCTTTCAGTGTACTCTTCAAGATACTATTTACCATTTGACTTAATCTATACCAAGAACAGGCTCTTCTTTTTTTACTTTATATTTTTGTTGCTTTCAGAGAGGAAGGGAAAGGGAGGGAGGGAGAGAAACATCAATGATGAGAGAGAATCATTGATCAGCTCACTCTTGCACATTCCCTACTGGGGATTGAGCCCACAACCTGGGCATGTGCTTTTGACCAGAATCGAACCCGGGATCCTTCAGTCCTCAGGCTGATTGATGCTTTATCCACTGAGCCGAACCGGCGAGGGCCAGGCTCTTCTCAATGACTGGATTCAATGGTCAAAGTTTTGAACCAGTAAAAGAATAAAGTCAGTGTGGTTTATGTACTACTTTTGTTGAAATCTTCAGCTATTCACAACTTTGGTACACTGTCCCCCTTTTTAAAAAGTCATTAGAGCAAACTTGGTCTTTCCATTGAGGCTTAATTTAATTGGCTCTGGGAAATTGGAAATCCTTCCTCCGGTTTCTGGCACCTTGTTAGCTGAAGCCTTATTTAGCACTTAGTAACATTTTAATGGGAAAAGACAGGATGTTCTGCGAACATCATAACAATTTATTTAAACCCCTTCATAATAGTCCTTGCTTTCATTTCATATTGAGTTTAGATTAATTTAGTTTTATAGTCAGCGAGAGCTGGACAAGTGGCCAGACTCCCCAAAAGAGAAAAGGCTACTTTATTTTTTCTTATTTAGGCCCATTGAATAGAGTTCTTCACCATTTGGTTATTTGTTACAAAACACAAGGCGGTTTTCAGAGGTGGGATTAGATGACTATGAACGTGCATTTACTTGTGCCTATGAAACTTTCAGGAAGATAAATGTATCAAAATATGATATTTGTTCCTGGCATTTTAAATATTGTTTACTCTCCTAACTGGAAAGATGTGAAAATAATGTGGCCTCCAAACTAATAGTGCTTATTTTGTTTAGCTTTAAAAGGTCAGTCTAGATAAGAAGTTTGGTTGTATGCATTCTAAGTGCTTGATGGATGGTTAGAGCTCAGTACATGTTTCTTAAATAGAAGAAAGAAATCTATATCACAATGACATGATGGGAAACCCTTTGCTGAAGGGAAAAATATAGAGCTCTAAACCTCAGTTGCTGTCCCTATTGCCTTTTCTCTCTTTTCCTTACTTTCCTCTTGATTTTTCCTCTTTTAGAACTTTAGGCAAGATTTGATTTTAGCAGGGAATTTTATCACAGCAAGGCCTTCAGAGACTGTTGTTTGTAATAGTCTAGTTTTATTTTACACTTTTCCATTCCCTCCAGAGAGAATGCAGGGATATTATTTCAGAGTTCTTGTGACATGATAATTCACTTTAGCAGTTATTTACTGCATCTCCCATCAGAAAGATCATATGGTAGGTGTGGCGATATCATCCTTATCATCATCATCAGTGTAAATTCATCAGCTATTCTGTGAAGTGCAGCCCCTGGCACCCTGGTGCTCAGCATGAGTTTCAATACCTGCTCCTACATGGCGGTGTGAGAGCCCCTCCAGGATTCTACTCTCTGATGGTGGACCCTCTGAAACTCATGGTCATTCATATTCACATGGCTTTTCTCTTAAAAATGGCAATGCATTGCTGAATGTCTTACTGATGCCGTAGATAATATGGAGTTTATGAAAATACCAGTGCATTCCCACTTACAAGATGGAAACTTCCTTTATATCCTTGAAATATCCCTGAAGTGTATGTGACACATAGCAGCATCGCCTCCTCTTTCAGATAAGACAACAGAGGTAGTGTAAGATGCATCAGTGTAAAATGCATGAGTTAGGTATCTTGCTTCTGCATATCATTATTAAAGAGTCAAAGATCCTCTGTCCCAAGGCTCAGTATAAACAGAAAGAGATGAACATCTAGAATTTACATTGTGCTTTGGGACTTTATTCTTGGAGGCCACTTTAGCTCATGTGACTGCATAACATTCCTGCAAAGTAATGAAAATCGAAGACTCCTACAATGTCTAATGGTGCTAGGTAGGCTGAATTTCTGCACTTCTTGGCCGCTGTCCTCTGCAAAAGATACTGCTGGCCTGAATTAGAGGAGATGAGTCACTGGCGGAGTGTCGGGCACAATGGAAATGATTCCATGCATCAGCTCCTGAAGTAATGCAACTGTACTCTCCTCCCCTCTGCCCCCCAGTTCATGGATCGCCTGAAGCTGCTCCTGATGCCTCTGAAGCATCAGCCTGACTTTATCTACCTGCGCCACGTCCCGCTGCGCAGAGTCCACCTGTTCACCTTCCTGCAGGTGCTGTGCCTCGCCCTGCTCTGGATCCTCAAGTCAACCGTGGCTGCTATCATTTTCCCAGTCATGGTAGGGATTTCCTTCATTGAACCTCCCCATGAGGTCATACCAGTGTCATGTGGTATCTTTTATGTGTGGTTCCAGTTTTTTCCAGCTTTGGCTAAATCATTTAGATTGGCTCAGCTGTAATTTAAGGTTCCTGTGACTGTGATTGTCTACCCTCAGAGTCAGACTAAGATGAGTTCAGATCCTGGCCCTGGTTCGTGCTGGTTGGTGAAACTCCCTGAGCTGCCATTAACGTGTCAGTAAGATGAGGATGGTATTATTGTTATTCTGAGCATCAGTAATGAATATCAAATATATAGCACAATGCCCAGCACATAGTAGAGACCAATACACATTGGTTATTTTTAAAATACGGTAGAATTTTGTACAATAGAATCAATGTAATGAAGTATGTCATATTTTAGTCCAAATATTAGAGGACAAATTGACAAACTGGGAAACTTATGAGAGGTTATCCATAGATAGAAGAAATGGAATGAAAAGTTTCACTCTTGAAGGTCTTGCTAGTTTTATCATACTAAATTTAAGTCTGGGCTCTTTATCCTTGCTGTGATATGGTGAGAAGTACTGGGTGAAAAGGTGAAAGAATTAAGAAGTAGACTAGTAGTTATAAGACAGACACGGGGACGTAAATTACAGCAGAAGATATATATTCAGTAATATTGTAATAACCATGTTTGGTGCCAGATGGGTATTGGAAATATCATGGGGATCACTTTGTAATTCATCTAACCACTATGCTGTACACCTGAAACTAATACAAGATAATATGGAATGTGAAAAAAGGAAATGCTAGCTCTATATTTGGTTTCCTTATTGAATTTTATACTTTATCATAGATTTCCATTTCTTGAAAGAAAATGCAGATACATACACTTGAAATAAGGCACAAAGCCAGCCTTCGGTCTGCTCTGTCACTGCTAGGGCTTTGGAAACAGAATTTTCATACATAAACCATATTTTGTTTTTTATAAAAATTCTCTTAGGATTATTATTTTGTTTTATGGTTATTTATTGTTTATAATTGTGTTATTTTTTTTTCTCCAGGGATGCAGGAAAAATGGTATAAAATACTAGTGATATTTGTAGTCAGATTTTTTGGGGGGATAACTAATTATATCTTTTTATGTTATTTTTTACTTTTTAATTATTTAAATTATAATTTACATTCAATATTATTTTGTATTAGTTTCGGGTTTACAGCATTGTGGTTAGACAATCACATACTTTACAAAGTGTTGCCCCCGATATTCCAGTACCCACCTAGCACCATACATAGTTATTATGTTATTATTAACTATATTCCCTATGCTGTACTTGACATCCCCAAGAGTATTTTGTACTTCTCAATTCCTTCACCCAGTTCCTCAGCTCCATTTAAACTCTATTACCTTACTGAAAAACATACTGAGTGAGAAAAAAATTCCCATTTGCCTTTTGGTATAATGTGCCTATCTATTAAGTTTGCTAATGCCAAAAGAAAAAAAACAAAGGATAAATTTGAAATATATCTAGTAAATCACTTACTGCTTGTGCTAAATAAGGAAACAAAGTTTTACCTTTATAAAGTATTTTTATCTTTTGAGAGCTTTTATTTGATCCCAAAACAATCACATAATTTCTGTAGAGTAGATTTATTAACTTCTCTAGGAAATGAAGAAACTGAAACCCAGAGAGCATATCGATAAAGACAACTGTTTATTTGAAGCAGAGTCGTGACTTGTATCCTAGCACATACAGATTTCACTGTTGAGCAAGGACATCTTTAATGTCTCTCAGAAGTTCATCCTCAAGAACTATTTATAGAATCAAAGATACGGAGTTTAAGAATACTGGTTTTAGAGGCAGGCAGCTGGGCCCCTTCGTACTCTTCCCTTTCTGGCTTAGTGATCTTGGATGATGTACTTACGTCTAAAAGCTTCAGTTTCCTCAGCTGTAAGATAGAGATCTTAATATCTACTCTTTAGGTTTGTTGTGAGAATAAGAAAATACTGCCTAAGAGTTTTAGCACAGCATCTGAAACATGGTAAGTATTCAGTCACTCAGTAGATTCAATGGTCTGTGCATATTCAACTACTACCTCACTATTAATATTTTGAAGATGTCTTAGTTTACTGTATGTTGCACAGATTTTCAAAAACTTGCATACTCTTTTAATTTTGAGTAATTAGAAATCATAAGCAGGCTATATTTTTTCTTTAATTTTTTAGTTATTTTGTTAAAAAGCTAAAACATGTAAGAAAATAATTTTAAAACTGATCCTTTCACATTGAGATTCTAAGTGAATCTGATTATACATTTCATTGAGCAAAACAAAGTGCATGTCAATTAACACTTTTTAAGTCAACTTTCTCCATGAAGAAAATGTTTACGGTCCACTTAATGTAAGTTCATATAAGCAAGATGAGTTCCATCATCCTCTAGCCTTATACAAAGTAGGGTTCAACTGCCTTTGATAGGAAAGTATTTATATCATTATGACTTCATCCGACAAGGTTCTTTTCATATTTTTTTTAAACTTATTCTTTCAGATCTTGGCACTGGTAGCTGTCAGAAAAGGCATGGACTACCTCTTCTCCCAGCACGACCTCAGCTTCCTCGATGATGTCATTCCAGAAAAGGACAAGAAAAAGAAGGAAGATGAGAAGAGAAAGAAAAAGAAGAAAGGAAGTCTGGATAGTGACATTGATGATGTAAGGAATTTTCCAGAATTACAGAATAATGCTAGTTAAAGAAAGAAATATGAAAAACCAATTTTTTTTAACCCTTATGTGAGATGTATGTCTGAGTTTTGAGAATGTTTACTTGTCCATGTTACATGTCAGTCTTCACTTTCCTTTACCCTTTATTTTCTCTCTTTGTTTTTTTTTTTAAATATTTTCTGAAGCCTTTCTTTAACCATTAATACACTAAAGATGATAAAATGACTTCTAGAAACCAAAGCAAAAAAAAAAAAGTCCACCACATCTAAAGAACTCCAGTCTCATAAATAAAAAGTAAGTTGGCTTAGTACGGCTATAAAATGTATTTGATTTGCTGTTGACAATCCAGGATTTCAATTTCAGATGACTCCAGTCTATGTAATAATGTTAAGCCTAATGTAGACAAATGCTACTGCCCTCACCTCCTGTTATCTGTGTTTGAGGAGGCTCTCAACCAAAGTCCTCTGCGATTGTTTTTATTTTTGCATTGGGCTTTGACATGATTTTGGATTATTTCTCTCTAACCCTTCAATTAAAAAGAATTGTACTTCAGGGTCTTTTTACATAATTGTAATAGTCATAGATGATCCTCCTTCAGGCGGGTGATTAAGTTGAAATATAAAATAACTGCCCATTTTTTTTCTTTAGGAGATCAGTTCAAAGGAATACAGGTACTCTAATAGGAGTCTGTCATTAGTGCTAGGAGAAAAGATGAGATTTGTTTAACACATACACACACACCCCCACACACACACACCCACACAACCGCCTATTCTAGTAGTCTTTGAAAGGATTGCCAAAATGAGATTTTCTGTGTGAAGATTTATTCTGAATTTTTTAACACAGTCAAGTATCCCTATTCTAATGGAAGCCCTGGGATCCCATTCTATAGTGGGAGTGTAGTTCATTTTTGCTGTGTTTGATCATTTTGATTGACCGTGCATACTTGTCTTCAGTTGCCAAAACAACTGTTTCTAATATATATTTTTGTTCCTACTTTACATATGAGGAACTTGAGACTGAGAAATGTTCAGTCATTTTTTAAGTGTCTACATTATAATCTACATTATAACAAATGCATAAATATTTGCTGATGGAAAGCTTTCCAGTTGTTCCAATCTATAGTGACTTCCATTTGATGCAGCACTAGTGTTAATGGACTCAATCCCATTAACTCAGAAGGGAGGAAAACAAAAGTAAGGGAGAAAGATGGTGGAGAATATGAAAAGTTAGCCAAGCGAAAATGATTGTATCTAAGGCTTTTCTCCTTAGTACAATGTAAATGACAGTTTGGTAAGTTTAATCAATATGAGGAGGTAGGGAGGTCTGTACAGTAACACCTTTCTTAAAACTTACAAATTTCTTTCACAGTCTGACTGCCCATACTCAGAAAAAGTTCCAAGTATTAAAATTCCAATGGACATCATGGAACAGCAACCTTTCCTAAGTGATAGCAAACCTTCCGACAGTGAGTAGAACTAACCTCTTGCTTCCCTGCTTTAATATGATTTGCACTTGCAGAGAAAAAACTTTAGAACAATCATTTGCATTAACTTTCCCTCCGTTTCCTTTTTCCTCTGTGCGAAGATTTACACTTAATTATTTTTTTTAAAACTTCATTTTTACATTCCTTGAGCTTCCCTTTTCTTCCTTTTATCTTAAGTTTTTGCTTGGTAGTCTTTTCTCTGATCCAAGTTATCACCAGTTTCTTTCCGTTGCTAAACTCATAACCATGTCTCTAACTGATTTTTCTTTTTCCTGCTGGTGTTTAGAATTGCGGCTCATAGGACTACATCACTGTCTGTTACTGTTTGTCTTCCTTAGGCTTCAGCCAATGACCAGATCAGCTCAAAAGAGAAATTGCAACATGGGCTCTCAGTGATCAGTGAATCAGTGGTTAATGATGAGAATTTGGAATAATTGATTATTTTAAATTTAATTGGCAATCATAAACTAATTAACAGAAATTTTTAGGTATGATGTACAAGATTTGTGCATTTTCTCCCTGTCTTCCTCCTCTGCTATTTCAAAATCACCTTTGTAACTGCACTGTTTTTTTCCTTAGGTAATAGCCCGATGGCTACGGGGTCGTGAATTTTGACACATCGGCTTTTCTTTTTAAACAACAGGCTCCTTAAAAGGGGGGGGGGGGGCTCTATAGTAACATTACTGAGTATATCTCAAGCTTTTCCAATAGCAATGGTTTCCAAACTGCTTTCGCTTTGCATTCCCACTGGGGAAAAATGTATATTTTTACCTTTCAGAGTCTACTGATCTGCTAAAGGAAAAGACAGTTGAGATCTTCTCACTTTTTTTGACAATGCTGCTGCAATAACAGCTTGCCATGAGAAGTTTGAAATGAATGACTATTTGTGAAAATAGGTATATGGGTGATTGATTGCTATGTAGCAAATTACTACAAAACTTAGCAGCTGGAAACAACCAACCTGTTTTCTAACACAGTGCCTGAACATTCTGAAATCTAGGAGCAGCTGATTTGGATGGTTTCTGGGTCCGGGTGTCTCAGGAGGTGGCAGACAAGTTCCCTGCTGGGGCCTAGTCTTGATGGGAACTGGGATCTGCTTCCAAACTCAGTCACAGGCAGTTGGCAGGTGTCAGTTCCTTGGCCTGTGGGCGCCTCCATAGGGCTGCCCATGCATGATTTGGCTTCCACCAGAGCCAGTGATAACCGTGTGGAACCAAGGCAGGAACTGCAGTCTTTTATAATCAAATCTCAAAAGCAGTATATCATCCCTTCTGCCATATTCTATTGGGCATACACACCAACCCTGGTACAGTGCAGGAAGGAATTATACAAGGATATGAATACCAGGGGGGCAGGGAGCATTGGGGACCATCTTGGAATCTGGCCAGCACACTAGGTTTAAAGAATGAAAACATTTTCACCTTTAGTGTCTAATCTGTACATAGGCTATAGTTTATAACTGAGGCCAATTTCTTTTCAGTCCTGTCAGTGGGATTTAGTTAATTTTTTCTTTTTAAAATTTTTTTTTCTAGTTCCCCAAACCATGTTCTAGCTCCATTTTTCATCGTCAGAGCACCAATAGCAAATGAAGACTGAAAGAGAGCTCGTTATGCATGTCGTCCATCTAGCTAGTAGAGTCCTTCCAAGTACAGTTTAAAAATCGCTTTAGGAAGAAAAAAAATCAGTTAGAATTTGAGGCTCCTGGAAAAAAAAAATTATAGCAATTAGATTATCTGCTGCTAGTATTCTTCATTCTCTCAAAAATGCTTTAAAAAGGATACTTTGAAAACTGATATATTAGAAATTTACTTAAGCAAATCACCCATGATCATTCTGACATCTTTTAAATAGGTTTTTAGAAAGACAGGAAGGGAGAGAGAGAAACATCAATATGAGGATGAAGCGTTGGTCCGCTGCCTCCTGCACACCCCTACCAGGGATGGAGCCTGCACCCAGGCCTGTGCCCCCACTGGGAACAGAGCTTGGGGACCTTCCAGTGCAGGAGATGATGCCCAGGCCATGGAGCCACACCCACCAGGGCTAAATGACATATTTTCTAAAGTCATATTTATCTTTATAATACATGAAAAAACCAAAATTGTTGGAGTTGCAGTATAAATAAGTTCCTCAAAATCTTTTTATTTTCCCACAAATAATGGGACAAAATTGTGAATGCTGAAGGTATAAGGAAATCCAAGAGTAAGCCTAAGATATTAAGAAAACGCTCTACCACTTTTTTTAAAAAACGATTCACCTCCTGGCCCCTCACTGGGAGGAACATTAGTGGTTATCCCTAGGAAAAAAACCTAGAGTAAAGGAAACAAAAGTGATTTGGCTTCATCACACTAGTTAGACTCTTCCTTTGATACAGTGTTTCTTGAAATTGTCTACACTTGCCTCACTTACTCTTCCCAATTGTGAAAAGAGGCATCAATTTTTGTGGAGATTTTAATTTTCACTCTAGTTTTAAGTATTATCAAGAACTACCCTTTATGGCTAACAAAGATGTTTGTTTGTTTTTTTTTTCTTCTAGGAGAAAGATCACCAACATTCCTTGAACACCACACATCATGCTGATAAAATTCCTTTTCTTCAGTCACTGGGTATGCTAAGGTAAAGGACCGCCCGTTACCCTTACGTTGTTCTGTGCGATGATTGCCCCACAGACGTGAAGTCAAAGGCGGGTTATTGGCAGGACACCTTGTTCTCCTTCCTTTTATCTTAAATGAATTACCCAACCACCAAACCTTGCCCCAGTTTTCCCTGGTAGAAAGCCTTCTAAGAGACCTCCTCTGTTTACTCTTAGAAATACTGAAACCTTTTCAGTAGCATTAAAATAAAGCCCCAGATCAATCAGTGTCACCTCTTATCATTTCTGTTTCATCTCTGACTTAATGGGTAACTGCATTTCCTGGCGGCTCTCCTCCAGGAGTTTCCTTCCCTCTTCACCTGGCTCTGCAGATTTCAGATCCTAACTGATTGCCCCCAAAGTATAATCCCTGAATATTTTCTTCATGAAAGTCTTTGTGTCTTTTAAATTGACAGAACCACCCATCTGGCAGTCCACCTTGGTTGTTTTGTTGTTGTTGTTGTTGTTTGTTTGTTTTCTTCAAATCTAGGTATGAGAGCTTAAGACATTTTTACTTGAATATCTTGACTCTCTAGGTACCTTCATCCTACTTAAAATATGTTTGTTTTATGAATACAGCAATTGGAGATAAGTATTTATAAAAAACATAGGACACATTTGGCTTCTGTCCAATATAAAGACAGTTGACAGATGAGAAAGGAACTCTGATTTACTTACCAGTTCGTTTTCTTTTCTTTTTCCCTAGTCCTAAAACTCCAGCACAAGTTGTGCCTCAAATCAGAATAGAACTTGAGCCCGACGACGATGATGATTACTGGAGGAGCAAGGGAACAGAAACCACATTGTAACTTGTTTGTCTTTCCTCAGACTAACAGATTTTGTTGTTCATGGTCTTGTTGGTTTTGTGTGCGTCTGGTTGTTTATTTTTAATTCTTGTTTTGTCTTGGGTTTTGGTCATTGGCCAAATAGTACAGTGCTCTCTCTGCTTCTCCCCAGCATAAGGTACAACTAAGACAGTAGTGCACCATTCCTGAAAAACAGCACCCGAAGAGCCCCTATTTGTTCCACCTTCAGATGTATCCTCTGACAACCAGGTTCCTCTGTCATGCAGGACACGTACAGACCGGGTCCCTTCCCTTCTTAGCCAGAGGTCAGAAGTATTGAGGATTTTATAACACCTTTCATTCAAATACTGAAGGAACTTACCACTTGAGCTTTTGGAGCTGTGCTTACTGGCTTGTCTGTCTGGCTGGCAGAACAAACCTTGATCTCCAGACAGTGTTTCCTCTTGCTTACGGAGCTCTCTGGAACTGGAAAAGTGCTGCTATTCTAAGTTGCTCTTGCTTATGAACCCTAGTCCTAGAATTATCAAAAGAAGAAAAACTAAAGGTACTTTACTGCCTGTAGCAAAACTATTACCTTTCTTGTAGCAAGTGCTGGAATGTCCCTTTTTTCCTATGCAACTTTTTTTAACCCTCTAATGAACTTATCTGTTGAGTACATTTGAAGAATATTTTTCTTCCTAGATTTTGTTGTTTAAATTATGGGGCCTAACCTGCAACTTATTTTTTTTGTCAATTTTTTAAACTTTTTTTTTTTAATTACTGTAAAATAATGAATTTTTTCCTGCAGCAGGAAACATAGTTTTGAGTAGTTCTACCTCTTATTTGTAGCTGCCAGGCTTTCTGTAAAAATTGTATTGTATATAATGTGATTTTTACACACATGTACACACTCATACACACATACACACACAAATACACAATCATTAAGGTAAGCCAGCGGGCTCGATCAGAGGAAAAACACCATGTTTCTAAGCGTCAATTTTTCCCCTTTCCTAAAAAGAAATTTAACTGTTCTGTGAAGGAGAACTGGGGAGAAGGGAGAAGCTCCTATGTTATGGGAATAACTGATGCTTTGAGAACAGTACTATCCAGGCACAGATGCTTATTGTATTACCATGTCCATGTCCTATGCAGTATTGTTAGATTTTTTTTTCACTTTGAAATATTTGTGTGTTTGTGTATATACTCTGTGTGTGGCTGGTGCATATATGTGCAAAGTTATGGTAGGCAAAGGGCGAAGATATTCAGTCTCTTGTGTCAGTTGTCATAAAACCCAAACCATGTATGAAAAATTTATCAGAGGTCAAAGAGACTTACGGTTATGCAAATGAGGGTGAATATATTTTATTATTCAGATATCAGTAACCATCACTGATACAGTAGCCCATAATTACAATAAAAAATTCATAGAAATATCAATAGACCATTTGCACATTTATAAAATGTTTATGACATGACAAATAGATCTGCAGAGGTGTATGTGTATACATGGTAATAAGACTCACACATTTTTTTAGGATGGAAAGGCAATTCCTTGTGATTGGGAAGTTCAGGATATTTGTGTGTGTTATATATACACACACATATATGTATATGTATGTATATATATGCATATACACACACTTCGAAGTACCATTTTGAAAATTAGAAAAAAATAAAATTAATCTTTATTAATTACTGTTATTTTAATATAATGCTTTTAATAGGTTGAATTATGTATTATGAATCTGCATTAAAAATGTTGATTCCATATTTTGGAGTCATACAGTCACATTTTGTGGTGCATCCTAAGTAAAATAGATTGTTAGAAGAGTTAAAAAATAGAACGAAGCCATCAATTTTGGTTTCATAATATATACACAGTGACTCCTTATTTTTATATTAATTAAGTTATAATACAGTTCTTTTAAAATTCTCTACAAAAATGTTATTCTGAATTAGCTGATTCTTTTATAGTATTGGATAATCTTAAAACCTTCAGTTTTATACAAATTAGATATAAATGACATGCAGTTTTTTATTCAAATGAAAGTAGCAAATTGTTATTTATTAAAACCTCACATGCTAAATTTTGGCTTGTATTTACAACTAATCTTACAATTATTACTCTATATTATATAGTTTTTTTTCATTAAACTAAGATAAAATTAGAAGCTTTCCCCAGTTTTTTTTAACTGATAGAAGGACCAATAAAATGTTTGAAAGCCATGCATAATATATTCAGCCTAACCTAAAATCTTGTTAAATTAATGACATTTTTGTTCATTTTTATAGAATCTCTAGCTATAATAATTTTTATTCTGATCATGAATCAATTATTTAAGGATTCATGCCCTTCTCCATCTCTTTCAAAAAACTCCTAAAACAACTTAATTCAGTGCTTAAGCCTTTGAGTAGATCTAAAAGTTTTCTGCACCTCTGTCTATGACGCATGTTCAATGACTGTTTGGTACTTACAATATGAATGTGGAACAATATGTTATGTTTGCTAAAAGGATCATAAGTATCAAACCTTTTTAATATTTTGGGACCCAGGGACGTATTTAAAAAATCATAACTTTCAGAGGAATAGAAATAGTTACCCCCCCCCCAAAAAAAAAAAAAACAAAACAAAACAAAACCTGACGTCCACATGGAGCCACCAGATTATCTCTATCTCAACTTAATTTACTCATTATTTAAGAACTAACCAGATGGTGTGGTTTTCTTTCTTTGTAAAATGGACACACATAATACACTGATTAAAATTTTACAAAGTGTTTCTCCCTGATGTGAATACAGACAAAAAATAATGTAAGTTGTTATAAGTAAAGAACTAAGTAAGTAAGTGTACACTCAGAATTGTTAACCAGAGCATTTGGCTGTACAGACTTAATGTTGGAAGGAAAGAGTCTGCTTTATGGAAGCAAAAAGGTCTCTGGCTTTGCATTTGAAAGAACGTATCTTGGAGGCACTGTTTTCCTTGATAAAAGTCACTCTTCTCTAGTGTGTGAAACTAGGACTTGGAACCCTAATTATTTTGTATGCCATAGGCAATAGGTTCCTGATTGTTCTTCTAGTCAAGCTGTGAAATGGGGGTAGGGAGGTGGATGCTTAAAGAAGTAGGGAAAAGCTCTCTCTAATTAGCCCCCTAAACTCAAAGAATGGGGAAGGAGGTGGGGAGTAATTGTCTGCCTCAGTAATTCAGGTGTGTAGTTCTATGTATTTTATGCACATGCACCAACACACACAGAGTAAATCTTTTATCAGCTCTATATTGATGTTTAATACAGAGAACGATTGTCTTCCGAGTTTTGGTTCTTTTGTTTTGTTTAGTTTTGAACTGTGTTAAAGTACTTGAATTGTATTGACTGCTGACTATCTTTAAAAAACAAAACAAAACTATTTGAGTTGTATTACAGAGGTTGACATTGTTCAGGGATGGGACAAAGCTTTCTTCAATCCTCTTCATACCACTTAACGATTTTGGTGCAGGAACTTGAGATTTTCTTATTTATTTCTTATTTCACATCTGCTCTTCACAGCATGAGCATGAAGCCCAATGGCACCAAAAGGCTGAATACAGTCAAATGATAGTTGGTGGCACTTGACCATCTAAAGGGCTGTGCAAGTTTGGAGAGGATGATTTCATTGAGCTTCAACATAGCCTGAAATATGGCTTTGTGATATATGCAAACACCACATTGTGTTTGGACAGGATATTTGCATATGTCCCACTTTTGGCTCATTTCTTTGTGTTCTATGGGTACATACTAAAATCCTGAATTATATTTCCTAGGCAAATATTGCAACTCAGGGCTAATGTCATCCAGTAAAACTTTTAGAGCCAGAAGTAACTTTGTCCCATTCCTACAATGTGAAAAGAATGAATAGTTGCCTCTTTTTAGCCATTTTCATGGCTGGTACATATTCATACACATTACTTTTCAGAATCAATACGCACTTTCAGATATTCTTATTTTTATTCTCTTAAGTCTTTATTAACTTTGGAGAAATGATGCATCTTTTTATTTTAAATGAAGTAGATCAACATGGTGGAACAAAATGCTAAAGAACAGAAAACATTTCAATATATTACTAATAATTTTTTCCAATATAAAACCTAAAATTCCTATAACATTATAGTATTTTACAGTTTTATGAAGCTTTCTATTGTGACTTTTATGGAATTAAGAGATGAAGAAGATGAGATATTTTAGCATTTATATTTTTCAAAATTAAATGTATACTTAAAATAAAGTAACTTTATGCATTTGGGAGTGTTATGTGCTTCTGTTCAACTCTTCAGATAATTTTTACATGCCTGTTACTTTGTTCCCGGAAAAGGGGCCTGGCCTTACTGTGGTTCTACCTAGGGCTGGTTGGTAGTGTGTGGGTTCTTGACTTCTTGCAGGAAAGATTTTACAATGCGAGTCCCTGTGATTTTTAAAGCATGCTGGGGACTGGAAGCATCAGGAGAGCCTAAGCAGGGCAGCCTTGGCTCTCTGGAAATGTTTTAGGAAAGATGAGCCTGGGCTAGTCTGCTTTCACTCACTGACTTCCTAAGTCAGAGAAAAGGGGGCCTTAGAGACAAGTTCACGGTTAGCCCCGGAGGAATTGCCACAGCCCAGGGCCACCCTGGTTGCTAGCTTGTGAGGTCCTTCAGTTTAGGAGATGCATACCTATGGGGAGGGAGCCAGAGATAAAGGAAAGGCACTGGCCTGCTCTTGGGAGGGAGAGCACACTGGGTCTTCCATCCTAAAAGCTTTTAAGGTTGGAGACCTTAGGGGAAGTCCTAGAGGAAGCTCAATAGAATATTCATCTGCACTTCAGGTGGGTCTCCATGATTGGTGTCAAAGCAGGGGCAGGGCCTCTTTAGTTAATGCAGCTGTCCCTGAGGTCAGCCTAGAAGTCCCTTGTCTGGTGTTGCTGCTTTTCTGGGCCTGGATCTCTATGACCGAGGCCTAGATGTTATCACTAGGGACGAAATGTCAGGGGGCTCACACCGCTTGACCATGAAAAACCAGGGAAGGAAAGCTGGCTCTCCCAGCTTTGACCTGGCTGTAAATTGCTTGGCCAGTGTTTTGTTTTTGTTTAGGTATATGTCTCAGTTTCCCTATTCCACTTGTCAAAGAATTTTCTTAGCTTTTTACTAATCTGCTTCAAGTTTTATTCCCGGGGGCTTTGGGGAATATGGAGATGAGTAAATCAGAATCCTTGATCCCAGATTGCCTATAATCACTTCAGGCAGGAGGATTAAACTGTTAAATCCCTCAAAGGATTGAGTTGCCAGCTAAATGATAATAATACTGAATTTTTGGACTGGAACCCTGAATTTTTGTCTGCTGGAATCGAAGAATGAATCCACGGACAGAGAGTAGTATAGAAAAGGTGAAGATTTATTGAAGAACAAGAACAGACTCCCACATGGGAAGAGGGAAAGAGTCCCTCAGAATGGACTCCCATTTGGGGACAGCGGGGAAGGGTCCCCCAGACTTCCTGTTTCCATGGTTTATAAAGTCTATGGTGCCTATGTCCTGATATCCTCTCTGATTGGTCAGTATTCCGTTTTGAATTGGTTACTATAGTGACTCATGAGGCCCTCTTCCCTCATGGTCCTCCTATTCCTTCTAGGCTTTCTTACTTTTTCTTTATTTTGTAAATATAGACCTATTCTGGCTACTTCCAGTTCCCTTGTTTTACGGAAATACTGTATACCTGTTGCTGCTCCCTTGTCTTATGGAGATGTAACTGCCCCAGGCTTCCTTGTGTTATGGAAATATACCTTCTTCCCTTCTGTAGCCCTATGTGTTTTTTCCCCCCATGGACCCCAATTCTAAAATATTTCTAAACTTGCCTATGTCGCCCTAAAATACCTGTTTCAATAGCATAGGTTGATTCACTTATCTGACTGCATTACCTTTCTTTAGTAAAACCTCTTATACAGTTTTAGTCACTCAAATCAAGGAGGCTAGCCATTATATTTCTTCATATCAATTTTTGAAATTGGTAGGTACCAATAAGACAGTTATGATGAGAGCTCTTTCTCTCAAAACAAAACAAACAAACAAACAAAAAATCCATTTGCAGGGTTTTCCAATTGAAAGCATCCATTTATTTGTTGGCTGTTGATAGTAGGATCTATTAATCTCAATGGCAAGTCAAATCAATAAGCCTTTTATGGTTTAACCAAAGGCAAAAATCAAGATGCAGAAAATTCACTCCCTGAGGACTTTAAGACAGTCAAAATCCTTCCTTGCTTGAGGCAGTAAAGCAACAAAGGTTAAGATGCCAAAGGCCCCTTAAGAACTCAGACCCCTCATGACCAGCTTCCCTGGGAGCTGGACTGGTCTGACAAAATAAGATACCTGTAGACTGGTTACAGCTACCGGTACCAGTCAGTCGCACAGCTGAGGGCAATCCCTATGCTTCTGTTTCCCGGGATACAGCTGCCAGGAATCCCCAGGGTATGGGCTTGCCCACCGGGTGCACCTGGGTAAGTGCACCTCCAGGTGGTGGAAACTAGAGAGAGAGATTTTAGCCAAACTCTCAGGACGTAGAACTAGAAGAAAACACTGCATCCGGTTTTTACAGGGACCTACAACAAAATGGCCACAAGCCTGGACAACAGGTTTATAGGATTGATGCCCATTTCCTCCCCAGTGGACCGTCTTTCTAGGACAACAGTACAACAGAGACAAGGAAGGGAAACAAAGGAAGGCACAACAGAATGAGGGTTCCCCCACCCAGGAAAAGTCCCTGAGAGCTGCTGTCTCCAGGGGACTTCCCACAGCATGAAGGGCCCCTTCTGAGGGGAAAGTATTCTTTCTCAAGCCGCTGCAAGTTCAAGCCACTCACCTCCAGGGCAGCCTTCACCGGTGAAGAAGGTCTCCTCCTGAAGGGAGGAAATCCCTCCTGAGGTAGTGAACTCCCAGCAGCCTTGCACAGGTGAGGGAGGTTTCTTCCTGAGGAGAATCCCTCCCACTGTGGAGACTATAGGCAGTAGGCCATGGGACACCCCTCCTGAGGCTATTGTTCCTTGAGGGGGGAAAAAAAAAATCCCTCCCCATTTCCTGTAAAGGCTCCAACTTGAACCAGAAGGAGTTAGGTCTGGACCCAGAAGGGCTTCAGGGTCAGGAAGCATGGTCTGTGAAAGCAGTGGATGCAAAAACATCTCTAGATACCGCCCCTGGTTCCAGGAGATGTCAGTCCTTCAAGGTGAGTTTGTTTCTGATTTGATTCTGACATTAGATGTGCCAACTTCAAAATAAAAGGCCTAAATGAGAGGCGACAGAAGTTCATTTGAGATCCAAATGAAGAACTATCCAGAAAGCACTGACTTGGGCAGAACCCAAGTAGTGTTAAATTGGGAGGTGAAGGCAAGCAGCATTTATGAGAAAGGGAAGGGGAACTGCCACAGAAACAGAAGAAAGGAATTGCTGTGGATACAGATAAGCTAACCTAGTGATGCTGATTTTAAAGAATGCCTGGAATTTTCAGTCTGGTAATCTGAATGTCTGCTTTCCTGATACCTTTGCAAGCAGTTGTTTGGAATACACTGTTGCTTGAGGCCCAGAGCAAAGGCTATAGTGCCCGGTTTTAACA